CTGAAGATTAATACCCAGCATATGTGGTTCTCAATTGTATTTTGCTAAACACATACCTGATCACTATCGCTATTCGCACTATTGGTTTGCGGATAAATTGGTCGCTTGCCGTCAGATTCTTCCGAATCGGAATTCCCGATTAATGGCTTCTCATCCAAGCCATATTTATAACGATTCTTGATAGCCGCTATTGACTCCGCATCTAGAAATCGGAAGCGCATATTTATTACATTCCAAAATATCATTAATTAAAATATACTAGAAAAATGCGTAAGGAGTTGGAGACAAGAAGTTGCAAAAAGGCACCTGATTCTTCCTCCCGATCTTCCAGGAAATTATTCGAAAGTGCTGCTCTACCCAGTGATGGCCGCAAACGACTGCGACGTTGCTGCGCCTCTCGGCGATTCTGGGCGCGCACACGCTCTTCTTCCTTGCGAACGATTTCCTGACAAAAAACAGTTTTACGATAGGGAATGCATTAAAAATAAATGACTATCCGGACATTAGTTTCAGGTAGGGAGGAAAATTAGCGCCATGCAGCCCAGCCGAAGGAAGGATCACTCACACCGATTTAATGGTACCACAAGTGATCATGTATGCATATACACGTATGTGAGTGGGTGTGTGTATGCGTACACTTGCAATATTAACAACAGATTACTGCTATAGAAGCGTCCTGAATATGAAGTTTGCAGTGAATATGCTCTTGTGAAGATATTCCAGTGGTCTGAAGTGAAATTTTGGAAAGCACTGCGAAAGCGAAGCAACAAACAATCGTGAACAGGCAACTGTCATTGAGAGCCTGCTGATTTCTCAGGCGACAACAGAAGTGTGGCAAATTTTTTGCGATCTGTCACGTCCCGAGCAGTCTTTGTTTGGCTCGGTTTAACTGGCAAACAAACACCGGCCGGTAACTTCCCTTCGAGTTTCACTGTTCAGCAAGATGCTCAACTCTGAAATCTATGTTAACACATCGGTATTAGGGATCTGTAATCTCCTTCGCTGTGGGGCACAAGAAACAGGTGTAGACATACTTCAATTATACAGCATCCTTGGCGAAAAGGATTCGGAGCCGGATAAACCGCTGAAGAGTAGCAAAATACCAAAACTTCTCGGACAATCGGTGTAGCGATTACATGCCAGTGATGCTACTGGTATGCTTCCACACACTGGATACACAGAGCTACCAAGCACTTCGACCCTGAACTGCACTCCTCCAGTCAGTGTCCACCGCCTGTTCGATGTATATGCGCTACCTTTTCAGAGGTTACTTCCTCGCATGCAAAACTCGATAATACGTGACATTCACCAGTTTCCAGTGAAGCAAATAACAATTCATTTCTTTGTGCAACGCAGTGACATTTCGCTCGCTTCATCTGATGGAGAGTCTGACTGTTTACATAATCACGATGGGGAACATCAGGCATTCGTCGTTCCCTCGCTTCCTCCATCACAGTTAGCGTCCGCTCTCCAACTTTCGCACGTAAACACCTTTTACATTTGCAATTCACCGCCTTCAGCAAAGCGAAGCATGCCATGGCAACAAATTTGTTAACCTACTATGCTAATTTGAAAAAAAAAAAAAAAAAAACTTACAGCTTTTTTAGACTCAGGATTCGAGCCAACCGCTGTTAAAACTTTGACTTTTTGCGACTTGTTCGATCGATCGGCCATCGATAACGTAACTTTACGATGAGTAATGGAATCCGTTGAATGCGGTCGAAACACTAATTTCTCTCTGGAATTTAAACACAAATCCTGATGGAGAACACAATGACAAAATAAGTGCTTACATACAAGGAATGGCGCGTAAATGCAACACATTAGAATTAATAGAAAATTTCAAAGGCAACATTGTAAATAATAATTCTGTACTACTGGCCAAAAATTTTTGCTGACAATGCCGACCTGGTGAGAATATAACAAAAACTGGTGAGAATATAACAAAAACCTCTTCGATTCGTTCAGTAATTTCGACAGTAAAATGAGCCTGACCCTGCCAGGAAGTCTACCTGTTATCAGTTTGCTTCTAATCCATCGAGGGTCTTAACAACGAGTGACTGCTGCTATCACATACTACCGTATGGAGTAAATTCAAATGGCTCCGCTACTCACACGAAGCGAACTTGGAGGGGTTTTAAATTCCAACGTCAAAAATGCATGCTGCATCCAAAATAGCATTTATTTGCCCGCTGAAAGTGTACAAAATTAACAAACTGAAAGGAGCAACCACAAGCATCTAAGGGACAAGATGGTGCAATAATTCGAGATATATAAACCGGTATCACGACAAAATGAAAGCTAAAAAAAATCGTCGGAACTGGTCTGTGGGGTAATCTATTCAGATTTGTTCTGGTCGGATCAGTATTGGTTCGGTGGCCAACAAGGTGTTTCAGAAGCAGCTCAAAAACCGATTTTTTTCAAAGAAAAATTAGTACCTGAAAACTGCATGGCCTTGTAATCCTGCACCTTGTCGCAAAAACAGATGATTATCTTGCTGCATCGGCTGCACTGTGATATCAAATACTTCACTACCAAGACAAAGAGACATCCTGTAAAAAAAAACAGTACTGCAAGGAAGTTTACTAAGTGAGAAACTGACAGGAATTTATTGTCCTATAAAAAGTAAGCACTGGAATTTCAGGCACTCTACTGAATGACTGATGTTGGCCGACTGGCTATGTATAGCTAAACGCTTTTTTTATCAAAACAATACCAAAACTTGCGATTTATTACTGTAAAAACTACTCAGAGGTAGCTAAAAGTATGAAGATGATCCTCTTAGCTTATTTAAGCTGAACATTTTACGATTAATGCAATCAAAATGTTAAGCGCGTACGTTCCGTCTGACCAACGAACAATTTTCGAATTCCCTTTCTTCTGGAGTTTTCCATCTTCATCCAACACATATCGCCATCTGATTGTATTTTCTACCTGTACAATAACTTAGCATCAGTCTTGTACATCTCCATCCAACATGAATCATTATAAAATGTTGCAAAAGGCACACTGCAAACGAGAAATGAGAAGGCCGCTTTTCAAGCATTCGACAGAATTTTCAAAGCATGAACACTTAAAAGAGAGATACGACGAAGACGAGCTGATCAAAGTTCTATCAAATCAGTGTCTATCTACCGTTCACCCTCTGCTATCACCTTGCTTCTAAACTCTCTGAAGAAATAAAACTACTGATAATTCGTTGGATTTGGTTCCTGTTTGTACTTACTACAACCCAGGCTACTTCCGAACGCATTCGCACGGAGAGTGAAAAAGGAAGGAGTTTTGACTTTGAACTGCAAAACACAAATACTGAAAATGTTACTCACTCGGAGTTTCAGTCGAGCGCGTCCTTCCTCATCCAGCAAATCCTCCTCATCGAACTCATCTTCATAATGCTCCTTATCAAAAGGCCGTGGTTCAATGCTCAAGAAATTTGGAAACTTTACAAAATACAGTCCTTGATCCGTGAATTTCGGACAAATTCTAGCAGTGTTAACGTGTACAACTGTCGGTTCAACTCGTACAGCACCGGTAGCACCTTTTTCGGATTCAGCGCTTACTTGCTGCTCACCGATATGATTTTTGTCCAACTCCTGCAACATTTTCATTTCGACTGGTGAGATGAATGCAGTGGCAAAGCGCATAATTCGATCAGCAGCAGCAGCATGCCCAGCAGAGGCAGCTGCTCCTTCTGTCTTAGCGCCGAATCCCAAAACCGCAGGCGCAGAAGCAAGCGATATGAAAGCAAAGTCAAAAAGATGTGAAACCTGGTCAAAGTACGTAAAAATATCCCAAGTTCGGACAAAATTTGATCAGAAGACCTTATCATAAGGCAATAAAATCTATTTAAAGGTGCTAAAAAGAGGTGACATGCGACCACCTCACCAAAACACCAATAAAAAGCCTGGTAAAGTGGACAAAGCATGCAGATTTAGATAGCGGAACGAAGCTCCGGATTTACTGCGCGTGATAGAAATTTATTGAACAACGAAAAAAAAAATACCTTTTCATCATCAATTTCTTTTTCGTTATCGCTATCGGACAGTGCAATATTTTTCAAAACGTGCTCCTCATCTTTATCTCCTATAGAACTGCTGCTCCTAGACGACACAGCATCATCGGTTTTCATGGGCTGCCGCTCGGAAACAGTATCGGAATCGTCTTCAACTGTAGGCTGCCGCTCGGAAACAGCATCTGAATCGTCCTCAGCCACAGGCTGTCGCTCGGAAACAGCATCTGAATCGTCCTCAGCTACAGGCTGTCGCTCGGAAACAGCGTCTGAATCGTCTTCAGCTGCTGCATTCTGTTGTCGCTCAGAGGGTGTATCCGATTTTTCATCAGGCTCGAACAGCCGCTCTGAGGGCGCATCCGAATCGTTATTGACTACTGCTGCATTTGCCTGCACTTCGGAATGTAACGAGCCATTTATTTCGGCATCTAAGTCATCTTCAAAATTAGAGTAGATTAAAGATCAGAAAATTTTTAAATCTGGCAAATTCAGTTTGGCCACGGTAAATTGTGTCAGCAATTTCACAAGCATCACTTTAAATCTGAACTTTCTGTATTTTGTTATATTACCCTTCAACCAGCGGAAGACCTGAGAAAAGCTGGCAAAGAAGCCAGCGCGAGGAAGAAAGATGTGTCTTGTATATGGGAGGCAGACAACAAAAGGAAGGTGGCACGCAGATACACAGTAGATGTGCTGCCAGACTAATTACATAATACAGAAGACCGCTGGTGTAGCGGGTAGTACGTCACCTCTGGATGTGACGGGGGTGGTTCGATTCCCTCCTGATCCCCCACCCTTTTTGAAAGGGGTTCCGTTCATGAAATGCATATAACTGATACTTTGGAATATCCGAAAGCCCATTTTTTTCTCAACATACAATGTGTAATGCCCTGTGCTTGATCATCCGATAATGGCCGAGCCCAAAAAACATCCAGATCCTAAATATCTGCCATCGTGCAACGGCTCCCAACCAGTGCAGTCCATCGAACACAAATCTGACATGGCAAAGACACCGCACTGAAGCATAACTCATGAACAAAACAATCAGGCTTGCTTATTTGGGAGATCTAAATGGCAGCACTTCCAGAGAATTCAACTGTGTTCCTTTTCATGGTGGGTCAATAAAGCCAAACAAACTGTATATTTTAAAAAACAGAGGATTTTAGACCCCCGTTCTCTTTCAGTTTCCTTGCCAGGAATATTCAGTGTTTGTATTTTTAAAATTTCTACAACACAACTACTATGTCTGGAAGCTCATGAGATCGCAACAAGAGATGATGCGAATGCTAGTTCCTTTGGTGAAAAAGAGATCTACACTTCAGTACTACGCATGTACTCAAACTGTCCATTTCTTGCAAATTAATTCTATACGGAAAAAGGTACAGAAAAAGCTGAAAGTTAAAAAGAAACCAGAATTCGTTGCAGGCAAATCGGATCGCGCCTGCTCTGTTGGCCAGCCGTCGTGTTGCGCCGGATCCTCAACACTCGATTCCGACGTACTTTGCCGGACAGATGCCACAAGGCCTTCGTCGCTGGAGCTCTCCGCAGAAGACATACTCGGAACTACAATGAAAAAGATAATATTCTAGACATAGCATCACAGATAAAACATTTTATCGCATCCCCCTTCCCTGCTGACCCCAACTTCCCTCAATTCAGCCAAAAACTCCTCAGAATGTGCGAAACAACTAGAAAAAGAGCAAGACTGGATCGGGGATGTAACGACTGGAGGTACAGGAGTAGACGAGTGGAGATGGCTGAGAGAGGGAAAGAGGAACGGTGGAAGGGGCAAGAGAGGAAAGGAGGTGAGTAGAGGAAAGGTGGTATCGGTCTCAGAGGCTGTAATGGAGAGGAAGGGAGGGAACGGGGTTACTGAATGAAGGGAATGCGAGATGTTGCTTGAAGGTAGGAACCGGAAGCAGTAGCACCTACTTTTGTGAGGGTGGAGGTCTACGTGGGTTTTTTGTGCTCAGCGCATGGAACTTCATTTTGGAGGGGAATCAGAAATATTTAACGCGATACCCTGAACCTTAAATAGGCAAGAACCCAGCTAGAGGACCTCCCCTGCAACAACCAATACCCAAAAATGAAAACCCGTACCACGCGACCCAATTGAGCTTTTATTAATTCGCTTTTGCCGGGTTGCGAAAGCCACTGGCAGTTTGCCAGTCTCTAAGATATTCCGGGAATGTG